AGATGATGTTGTTTCTCGAGCCCCATGAAGTTACGTTAGGCGCCGGAAAGAAGCATGCCTAAACACTAGAAAGTCGACATATATCCTTATATATAGTTTAAAGTTGGGAGAACTGAATAATTTGTACAAACGATCATTTCCTATAAAGGTGGAAGAAGCAAGCTTAAGAATTTGTAAAAGCTTCTTTCACCTTTACAGTTAGAAAGGAAAAAGAAAAAGGATCATTCATGCCAGTCATGGGAATTAGTAAATTGATGGTCGGTTCGTTTAAAACCGACCAAAAAGCACTTTATGTTGTCTCCTCAAATTCAAAAAGATAAATTTAGTTTGTTTTATAATTCAGAAGCACGAGCGCGTAAATCAAGAACATAGGCGTGGAGACCCACCTACCCGGAGGTACATCAGGTACCTTGCTAATCCCATGAAGAGGTTAAGTCAACACTTTTGACTTGTGCAGAAGTTCTCGACTCAAAAGAGTTTGCATACAGTCGGTGAGATTTAAACGAATGAGCTCCAATTTTGAACTAAAAATCCCCTCATACCGCAATCAATTGCGCCAACTCTTTAAAATTATTAAAAGCACTATATTTGCATATGCGTGTGAAAAGTCAAAATCGATATGCTATTTGATATTGATAGAAGCTATTAACATGTATGATATTAATGAACTGAAATGGCAATTGATTAGCGAGCTTGAGATGAAAGACTTAGGTGTAATGTAAAAGATACTTGACTTGAAGATTGGGAGGGATAGGTCTATAGAGGAGCTCCGGCTATCACATAGTGGTGCTACTTATAAAGTGCCGAGGCAGTCTAGCATGCAAAATGCCAAACCAATGAGTACCCTGCTAGTTGCGTGTGTCAAGCTTTTAGCTAATTTTGCACCATAGTTAGAGGAAGATAAGAAATATGTATCCCTTGTTCCTTATGCTAGTGCCGTAGGTAGCATTACGTAAGCTATGAATTGCACTAGACCAGATATTTCGCATGTAGTTAGTGTTGTGGGAAAGTATATAAGTAACTTGGGAAAGAAACACTAGGAAGCTGATAATGGATTATGAGGTTTATGAGAGGGACCACAGACGTCGGTTTGACTTTTGAGAAGAGGCGGACTCCGAGAGATATAACAAGTTATGTGGATTCAGATTTTGCTGGAGACTTGAATGGGCAGAGGTCCTTGATAGGTTATGTGTTTAGTTTTGCGGATTGTACTGTCAGTAGGAAAACCCCATTTAGAATTAGTACTTACTTTTCATCGACAACTAAAGTAGAGTACATGGTGTCAACTTAGACAACAAAGAAGTTATTTGGCTCAGGGGTTTGCGTAGTAATGTGAAATAACAGCCATAGAAGATTGTTAAGATAATCAATATGCAATAACATTTAACTAGAAATAAGATGTATCATGAACTGACAAAGTACTTTGATGTCAAGTACCATTTTATTCATGATATTATGTCATAGGTAACTGCATCAATTGAGAAAGTGCACACAGAAAATAATCCAACAGACATGCTAATGAATCCCGTTCATTGACCAAGTCCTGGTACTATTCGAACTTGGTCAGCACTTACAGCGAGTAAGGACCCTAGAGGGGCTCAGGAGAGACGACAATCGATAAGGGTGAAATTGGACTTTTGGCCAAGGTGGAGATTTGTTAGTTATCTTTCGAAATTAGCCCATTTTATTTGGAATCAACACAAGCTTGTGATTTTCCGGACACACGAAGTATTTGTGGGGGCATGCAAACGGAGACCGGAAATCAGCTATGTGGAATGACAGTTTACCTAGCACTTAGACTAACCAGGCCACCAGGCGGGCGCCCAACCAAGGAGTGGCCGTGCTGCTGGACGGTGCCCAATAGCTATGCACTTTTTAGCCTAGTAGCCGGATGCTCGGGCCTATTTTAACGGGCGCTCGGCCCTCGATGCGAATCCTATTAACTTTCAAAGCTTATTTTGTGTTAGAGCTTGTGAAGACCCTAGAGAGCTTTTGTGAGTCGTTATCCAAAAGAGATAAGTATGATTCTTGTGGGTGGTGTGATCTAGTATTGAAAAATGCATCAATGTGAGTGTTTCAAGTTATTTTAGTATTCTTTTGTGGATTATAGTGAAACCATCTTGTCGATCTCTCTCTTTGGAGTAGGCACACCACTCAACTATGAAAATCCCTTGTGTCCAGGATTAGCTTATGCAATTTATTTCTTATTTTTGTTTCTTCATGATTCTGTGGAACAACCTCCATTGATCTAGATGGCTTCTCAATGACTGTCGAGACCTTGGTATAAACTCTATGTCCCATTGCCATAGAGGAGCCCTTGGTTCAAAGCATGAAGTGTCTGAATTTCTATTACACTATGGATGAACTGCTGAGACACAACTCGATAGAAGGATTGTAGAAGCCATGCTTATCCAAATGGATGTTTAAAAAAACAATCTTAATTTGCTCTTTTTGGTATATACTGGCATGATAATGGACAATCGGTACGTTTCAAGTGTCTGTTTGTCATATACTAAAATAAAACAACCATGGATGAAGTCAAAAAGAGTTCCCGTAAATTAATGAAAAAAGAAAGGCATGCACACACACTGAGCCCTCAATATGCCTGCATGGGGGTAAGCATGACAAGACAAGGCTTTCTTCTGATGGCAATCAAAGTCAAAACTACATATAATATGGAGAGAGAGAGAGAGAGAGAGAGAGAGAGAGAGAGAGAGAGAGAGAGAGAGGACAAAATTGGGGTATCTCTCTCTCTCTCTCTCTCTCTCTCTCTCTCTCTCTCTCTCTCTCTCTCTCTCTCTCTCGTGCCCCATTCTCTCTTGATGATAGGATATATATGAGAAGCAAAAAATCAGAGATTCTTGTGTTCCTTTATGAAACCCCATATGGAGGAAACTGACTAGTCGCTAGCAAGTAAAAGAGCAAATGCATTGGCCATCAGATGCCCATTAAAACTAGGAATGGGTCTCTGGCGTGAAGGATAAAGAAAACACATTGAAACCCTAGGCAGACTGATTTATTCATGGGCAGGTCCTGATGAGACTCTTATCCACACTAATCCAACGCTATGTTACGTACGATAGTAGGTCTGATTCTTCAATTCTTTGCCGAGAGAAATCTAGGGTTTTTGATTGGACTTATGCACACATTAAGTATGGACTCTAAGGTTGCTATGTGGGAGCTTTTTACGCCCTCAAATATTAAATTTTTTTTTAATCCTTTCGGGGTTTATTAAATTTCGATTTTTTACCCAAAATGCATGGCTTAGCAAAAGAGTTGCTACGCAAGGGAAATGCAAGTTAGAGGGCTGGAAATTTTTTGAGGATGTATTTTCATATGTATAGTCCCTAAAGTTGGAAACAACCCTGAATTTCAGGGACTATTGGATTATTTTTAATAAACGGTCAATAATTTTCAAAAGAGGAATGGATTGGGGAAGCACACTGATGAAGTCAACGACGATCTGAGAAGATCACAAACCGTTAATACCAAGTTGGGTCAAGTTTTTTTTTAGTAAGAAGATATGTCTAATCTCGCTATTTTTGGACTAGATGCGTTCTTTCTGTTTCCATTTTACATTTCCTGTTGGTCCATAATTTCTTTTAAATAATGATGGTGGTATAAAATTTACATTGTTTGATCTGTGAAGTGATATTCTCACAGAAATAAAAAAATTTCTGGGGCGCTTTTGAACTTCTCTGAACTGAACTGTATAGGCCAGGCCATCTTGAATCTTGTTATGGTATGAATGAATAACTTGTTATAAGTCATCCAAAGCAAAAGAACAAGAAAAAGAAAGTTATAATGTTCCCAAATCTGGGGCGCTCCTACTTGTCCTAAACTTCATAAAAATATTCACACATCTACATATGTATAGAAAATACGATAGGCTGATATTTTCCGTGAGTTCACATCGACGGGAAGTTTGGCACCTTGATGTCGGTTCTTCACCACACGAGGCTATAGTATGTTCCAAGGGTTGCGCCATGTGTACTTTCTAAATCTTAAGTAGCTGTGCTCGAATTATTTAGTCCTTGATCTGTTCTTCCGTTGTAGACTGTAGCATCCTCAACCTCCCCAGAGTCCCGCGACGACAATGTCTCTTAAGTTGATTTGATAGGTTGTCTTCCTTATTATTACGTAGTCCTTGCGGAGACTGTAAAAAATGTCGTCATTATGCTAACCAATGCAGACTTTGGTTTTTCAAGATTTCACATAATGACAGTTGGTTTTCTACCCTGATATGTGCTTAAAGCCTCAACGGCCAACCAGACTAAACTGATAACAAATTCAAGTTCTTGACAGATAAGATTGAACCGCACACATGAACAGGAAATCAACGCATCCGTTCTTTCCTCATCAGATTAATCTATGCACAGTGATTCTGCGGTACCAGTGGCGGCAAAATGCTCCTGCCTTTTCTGGGCATTTGATTGGTCGATCATACGTTCATTGGCCTAGTTTTTCTAGAAATTATTCCATAGAGACATTTTCTCATGAAGTACTTAGCTTCTTTCCTCCTAAGACGGTGCCTCAAATTAGACTCCCTATAAGAATAAATTCTCTGTGAGGCCAAACATAAAATCTCTTTTCTCCTATCGGGGAGAGAGAGACGAGAGAAAGAGAGAGAGGCAGAACCCTCTCCACACAACTCGGATAAATTAATTTGAATGGTTGGGAGGCAAAACATAGCCCCAAGAATTTGCATTTTGCATGCTGACCATCAAATCATGTCACTTCATGCGTCTAGAATGTTTATATACCTCTTAAATTACTATATGTCCTATACATGCACAAACACATAACTCCAAGCGGATTCTATCTTTATTTCTTGTCTCTCCCCTTTTCAAACGATTGCTCTCTACCACTACAAATGGGATTCTTTAGTGTTGCCACCCACCCCGAATCTATATCATTGTTGTTCCATTAGCTTCCTCATGTTAGAAAGAAACAAAACATAGAAGAAGAAGAAGAAGAAGAAGAAGAAGCTTTATCACACACAACGAGACCCAATATTCATTGCCAGACAATCACAAAACACATTTTACATAGAACCAAGACACACCCACTAACTCAACCAACTTCTTCTCAATCCATTTTCTTTGTGAGACTCCCCTCTCACCACTACAGTTTTTGCTTCTCTATCATAAGCAACCATCCCCCTCTCTTTTGCAAAATCCCCACCAAGAACCTCTCAAAGAGTGATCTTTTTAAAGTAAACCAAAACGACAATAGACCCCAAGCAAGCTAAACACCCAAGGAATCATGCAACGCTACTCCGACCCTGGCCGGCGGCCAGGATAGGTTTAAGTCACATGTCCCGGACTTCAAAAATGTTGCGGTTCTTGACGACGATGTCAAACATGTGCATGGACTTGAACTTGTTGAAGTCCTTGGGGAGCGAGATGAGATCAACGGTGGATCTCTTGTGGAATTGGAGGAGTTCCGGGTCGTCATAGTACCTCTCCCACCCGAGTGAGGATAGCTTCCTCTCCAGGTCGGCATACGATGTAATCAGCTCGTTCGTCGGGGTGTGGACCAGCACCTTCCGCCGCCCGATGCCGCTGGACACCTCGGCCCCTGGGTTCTCCACAAGCCGGACGACTCCGTTCTTGAACACCCAAACCCCAGACATTTTATGAATGGGAGACTAGGAAATAGAGTGTGCTGTGTGAGCTTGGTTGATGAGCTAGCTCTTGTGGAGATGGTGAGTGAATGTGGCTTCGGCGATGCATATATATATATATATATAGGCAAGGGACGTGATGCGATGGAAGTATATATATTATCAGCTTATAATAATAATTGTTCAGTTGGTAAATACATGTCAAGGGCCTTGTTTGGGTGTGGGTTTACGGCCCAAGGGGGGGCCCACTCACCGGGGGATTTTGTAGTCTAAGGATACATCCAGGGTCAGGGTGTTTGAGGACACACTTTGCCATCTTGTGTGGGGATGATCAGATTGAGAAGAATCCGATCTTTCTTTTTCCTTAGCCATTGAACCCACCGTGAGAATCTTTGTTTGGAGGAGAAAAAGAAAATAGATTGAGACTTATTCTAGAAGAGGATAATGAACGAAAGTGACCTTGTTTTTTTATGCGTCGGGTTTATCTAAGGAAAAAAGACACTAACCGTACCATAATTTTCGCACGATTTTCTCTTTCATGCAAAACTTTACATGCGATTATTTAAGCACCACAACTTCCAAAAATCGATCATCCTTGTACCGTTAGAAAATCACATGTGGTATTATTTAGAATAAATAATTGACGTGCATAGATGTCAATACTCAAGATATAAATCAAAAGACGTCGTTTGGCAACACAAATTTGCCCAAATTGAGAAATTAGGTTCAATTTTCTAAATAAACGAAACCCTAAACCTAAATCTTACCCTAAAATGAGAAATTGGGTATGATTTTCTTTCCCAAAAACCTAGCCCAAAATTCTAGTTTCAATCGAAACGGATTGTGCAGCAGTATTACTTTAGAATAAATAACCGACGCATCTCATCGGAGATGCCAATACTCAATATATAAATCAAACAACATTGTTTGGCAACACAAATTTGCCCGAAATTGAGAAATTAGGTTCAATTTACTAAATAAGCGAAACCCTAAACCCAAAATCTTTCCCTAAAATGAGAAATTAGGTATAATTTTCTTTCCAGAAACTGTAGCCCCAAATTCTAGTTTCAATCCGAACGAATTGTTCAGCAGCGAGGCTGCCGTCTTGTCATGCAACTAACATGGCATTGATGAAACTGAGCATGAGCCTCGTTGGAAGGTTCAATGTCGAGGTTGGTTGTGGAGGGAGAAATGGTGTGTGCCGAGGACTTAGAGAGAGAGAGAGAGAGAGAGAGAGAGAGAGAGAGAGAGAGAGAGAGAGAGATATGTGGGTAGGGTTTTAGTTGGAACCAAAGGATAGAGTTTATTTTGCGAGCTAAAGTATCCTTGTGGAGAAACGATTTAGAAAGTTCACTCTATAAAGAAGTCAGTGCCAATTATCAAATTCATCCCATTTGTTAATGAGGCTTTTTCCTTAAAAAAATTGGTAAAATATGACAGAGCTACAAATGCTAGCTTGCATGATTTAATTTGTTTTTGAAGTGATTACTTCAAAATGAGTATTCGAACAAGGGAGACACATTCAAACACTCCATAAGAGTTTAGCACATTGTTTTGCAAACACAAATCTTTATGCTGTGCTAGCCAGCTAGCCACATAGCATTATTACAAAGAAATAAAACACTATAGTTACTTTTCAGTTTTATATGACTACATAAGAAAGGCAAAGTATTGAATATAACGCTGGATTATTATGCCCTAACTGGAAAGTGAGGGGATTCTCATGGTATGAAGACAGTTAGGAGCAGGAAAGGCAGTGTCTCCTTTTCCACAAAACTGTGAATGGTTGCCCGGAAAGATCATGTAACACAGTTTGGCATGTGGGGGTGGACCAACTTGAAAGAGATTCTCAAGTCTTGGTTAATGCCAACCTTCTTTTGCATTACAGAATATTAGTTATGCATGTACCAATGTCTGGCCACCCCAATGCATGTTTTTTGCCTAACTGTTGACTAACTTACACTCTATATATCATATAATAAGGTTCCTTTTCATTGGTTTCCGTAGCAATCTTTAGCTGAAAACTTTCTTCTCTCCGGCATTTTCCTTTCACATTGATCGTGTAAGGGAAAAAGAGGAACGCGTTACTAGAAGTTAATACTCCGAATGTTAAAATTTTGTCTAAAAAGAGGCTGTCTGAATGACACCTTTGTTAAATAAAAAGAAAAAGAAACTAGAATATTTAAGGGTTAATGATGCATGATTTTCTCAAGTATATATCTTATTCCAGGGGAAACTTAAGAAGAACCCTCGGTTTTTCTTTATTTATTTTTTATGCCCGGCTAGTAATAATACCCTAGAAGAACCCTAATTAGTTTACTTTGTTCTCGGTCGACTATTAGGACCTCTGCATGCGTTGTTAAAAAGAAAGATGCCAGTTGAAATGGATGCCGACATGTTGAAGATGCCCCTACCTAAAAAAAGAGAAAAAAACGAAAGTGACAAGAACTACAGATCCTGTATCCTGCCAAACCATTGACCTTATTAATCATCCAACACATTTTAAAAAACGTGGGCACAAAATGTGCTTTTACCAATTCTTAACTAAAGTATAGAAGAGTTACAATTTTATCCTTGAAAGTCACATGTTAATGTCACGTACCGAAGTGACGCTGGAGTTCTCCCGTACTTGTGTGCCCTTATAAGCAGAGCTTGGTGGCGTCGTGAAGAGTGAGTGATGTAGATGAATGCAATTGGTTTGTAGGAGTGACGTTAGGGTGGTTTGTGCTTAGAGTTATAGGTTAGAATGAATATACCCTTAGGAGTTCTAAAGACGGGGTTGGCCTCCCATGCATAAACTGATCGAGAGTTGATGCCACTCTTTTGATGAGGCCATGGCAGATCGAAACCAGTTGTTGTGCCTAAAGGGTTCTATGTGTTTCGCTTGAGGGATTGAATACCCGAGCTAAGCTGAGCGTGGTACGATATGATAAGCGAATGTTATTTGCTGTATTATTCTTAGGAACAATTATAGAATGAAGGTTGGCCTGAGGTCTTCTCTACTCGCCAGGTGCCGCACGAGCTATTTTACGGTCAAAGAACTGTTAGACCGTGACATTGGCACATGTGCAAATAGAAAAATAAACCTCTCCGAAAGTTCAAGGAGAGATGTGTATTACCATAAAAATTCAGGGGTTTTTTTTCCTTATTGTTATAACTATTGGTACTGAATTTGAATATGCAATTGTTTAGTCTGAAAACACTTAATCTATTCTAGTACGGTTAAGCTCTATATATAGCTTAAGGCTCCACCTTAAGTGAAGGATGATTTGATGATGAAGATCTTAAGCGTGAGAATATGATATGCGTGACCGAAATTAAACTTGAAGTTCGCTGGTGCACAATAAAACAGCAACTCATAAATGGATGAAAGGTGAGTGTGAGGAATTGAACTCGAGTCCTCTGACTCCAATACCATAGTGAAGTTTTGAGTGCACTACCATTTACAATTCTTGAATTTAAAATAATTAGAGTATGGTGTGGGGAATATATTTATAAATTAACACTTTTCATCTTTATTTTGGTTACGTTTTATCTCTTTATTGCCAACCCTCTCTCTCTCAAAAAAACTTTCCTCAAAGGAATTTAACCTACTTTGCTATGTTTTTCATTTTTAGGCCTTATTTCCTTTTTTCCCTCTCCCGATCTAATTTGGGAGTCTTTTTTTTGCCTTGTTTGACGTCTTCTTTCACTAATTGTTGTTGCTTTTCTTCGCTCATTGTTGTGAATAAATCTTCTAGTAGCTGAAAATTTGTGAGAACGTCATCACTAGTCTAGCTAGTAGGATGCCTTGGACGTGGTTCTATGACTTCTCCAAGATTAGGCGGAAGCTTTCCTCTCCCGATATCGGTGTAGATCTAAATCTATGAGCTTTTCTCTCTTGATTTAAATCTAGATCTAGGAGTTTCTTAGAGGTGTTCAATTTGTGGTGGTTCAACATGTTGTTGCTGTTGTTGTTGTTTCCGTATGACGATGGTGTTGAGGATGTCGAACCTAGGCACGCCTAGGTTTGACAAGCATTGCAAGCCGTAGTTTTTGAAGGGGAAGATCTTGGCGTGTGCCCATCATTGACGATTATGATGATTGCCAGCCATTCCTTTTTGATACTGTGATAGATCTGGTCTTTTGGGATGAGAGTATGCTTTTAGTTACAAGTTGTACTCTTTTGTTTTCTGGGTTTTGTTTTGTTTTGCAGCTTTTTTGGGATTTGCTTTGCTTGGAAGCTTTTTATGTTCCTCCTATGTTTAATTATGACAAATGAATGGAATTTTATTTCGACCAAAAAAAATCTTTATTTTGGTTAGAATCTAACATATCCAATCAGTAGAAAGAAAATAAAAACAAGGGCAAAAGGTGATGTGTGCGAGTGTATGGCTTTAGGGAATGCACTCTCTCTTTATCCAGCAAGATGGTCGCCTACTTGTTGCTACTTTGCTTCATCATCCTCGTGATACGTGGTCCTCCTCATGCTCTCACTGACCCTCTTAAAGCCAGCATTGCCTCTTGCCTTGACAAGGATATCTGTGCTTGGTTTTCGTGTGCGTGTGCTTTATAAATACGATCCATTTATTTTTGTCACCTTCTCCTAGATTCTTCTTGATCTTTTCATAATTGGACCACCTCGGAATTTTCTATCTAATGTTCTCTTTTGGGGGGGTTGGTCCAAAAAACATCCTATACGATAGTCAATGAGGTTTCTTCGATAGCTGGTTTCGTAAGAAATATAGCATTGGTTGGTACTTATATGGTGTGAAGTGTGAGAGTGGTGTATTAATTCATGGATGACTATTGATGACTGAACTAGAAGACAGGTCTCGATCATCAAGACACCAATGCTTAAAGGAGACTAATGCATATGCTGTAATGCAATGTGCCAACTCTAGAGGTCTGAGTGAGCTCAGATGTTAAACACAAATTCTACCAAATCATGTATAATCATAAGTTGAGTCTTGGGTAGACTACTAACCACTTTGCCACTTCACTTATTCATTCACAGATAATTTGTTGAACTTGCACAATTAGTTGATTGCATTCTAATATACGGCATATATAACTTCACATGAATATTA